ACAAGCCATGCTTGTACTCGTCCTCATCTAAACCGTGTAAATGCAGTTAGTTCAGTGTTCAAAGAGACTTTCAGTAGAAGACTGAAATAACACCAGAGTGTAAGAAGCTGCGTTTCTTGACCAAAATTTGGAATTTTTTATTTTTATTTGAAACTCTGATTTTAGTTACAATTGTTGACAATGACGAGCATTAAGAAATTCTGTACGTAATAATAACGGTAGTGTCATAAAGCATGTGTTAAATGTTTATAAACTGTTTACTGACAAACAAACTGGTGGTGGTGGAGAATATTTGATTGAATATTTAATTGTTCAATTAAAAACTACATTTTAAATAAAAGGCTGCTTCATCAGAGTAGTTCCCTTTTATTTACTTGTAAACGGGTTAATTATGTTTGATGTACAAGTGGGATAAATGCCCTCATAACCAGCAAAAATGCTGAAAAGTTTAAGTGGATCTGAGCATGGATGGGTTTTCAGTGTGTCAGTGACCAAAGACTCCAGCCAAGAGTTCAACCTTGTATTTAACAGGAAATCATTAGCAGGCAGGTTTCTACAGTTCTACAGTGTCCGGCTTGCCATGAAATGCTGGACGTACTTTTAGGTAGAAGCAAAGTATTTTATAACTTTACTGGAAATGAAGAAAATAAAAACGGAGGAAATGAGGGAGGATATTACTACCCTTGCTACATATAAGTGACTTTTTTTTCCCCCCCATTTCATTTCATTTTTTTTTTTACTATACTGAACAGAGGTGACGTACAAATAAAGTGCAATCCAAGTCATGGCAGATAAAGGAGCATTAGAGCTGAATTCTTCCATTTGGGACGTAGTTCAGGGAAAGCTGATGTCCAGGAGCAAACATTTTATGAGAAACTGAAACCATATCAGACTTTCAAAACCTTCCGTAGAGACCTGTTGGCAAAACAGACAGTCCTAATACTTTGATTTTTTTTAAACTGGCATCCATTGAGCTATACCAGTATCCCTTCTGTAAGACGACTTCCTGGGAATTCATAAAAAACCTTTCATCTCAGATTGACCGGCTTTATTGCTCAAGTTTTGAGGTACTTTCATGAAAGAAATGACCAAGAGCAGCATAACAAGTACACACACAAAATGAGCAAACACAACACTTTAAAAACAGCAACAACATAGAAAAACCCCCAAAACTGATCCCTTCTTAACAAGGATCATTATCAAGTGGTCATTACGCCGCCTCAGTGACGCAGCAATGAGCCGGGGCGACAGAAAACTTAAAAACACAGTCCCCCGCTTTGCTCTTGCATCACTGCTGAGTTCCACCCAGGAACCACAAATGAACATGCTGGCACCAGCAAATGTTCTGGCCTGGGACCAGTCCTGGGACCAGCCCTGGGGACACTGCTCAAGATTAATGTATTGGATCATCACCATGGCAATAAAAAAAAAAGAAAAAAAAAATCCCTGAAAAGAAACCATTAAAACCTCAAGAGATGGTCCAGTTGAGTGCTTTTCGAGTAAGAACGAGTGCGGTATTCTGTACTGCTGCTTTACCAAGAAAATATACGAAACTTAATTTACTGTAACTGAAAAATGCCGTGAAAAACAATACTGTAATGTAGACCTTTGTGTTATTATAGAAACAAATGACCACGTTTACCCAAATTGGGAGTTACTAAGGAGCTACTTTTTTTGCAAGTTTTATAATGTTCACCTTCAAGAGTTTGGTTTCCACTCAAATACAGTGGAGTTTCAAAGAATCTATTCTGCATTAAATCAAGTGAAACTGTATTTTATTACCATCATGTCCAGTGTTTATTCCTTGAGCACTGTTCTGGTCTCCAACATCTCTTTTTGTAAATACTTACTAAACGCTCCACTATGTTTGTGTCTGAATGTAAATCAAAGCAGTGAAATTGATGGTTTTAAAACCAGCACACTGAGTTGAAAGATGCTGAAATCACAGCCTGTGTATCTGAGATGACATCATACATTGGTCTGTGAACAACACCCTCAAGATAGGAATTTCAGCCATCACCATATTTGTTTTTAAACTAAACTAAACATGAGGAGAGATTGCTGAATCTGAGAATACGATTAAAACCTTGCAGCACATATCTTCTATTCTACTTCATTATTTAGCAAGCGATCAGCACAGTGGACCGATCTGCATGTTTGTTTTGGCACAGATTTTATGCCGGACACCATCCCATTCATTCAGGCTTAGGATTGGAGCCATGAGGATATCAGCTTGTGAGTCTCTGGGACTTTTGTCTACACCCAATCTCTAACCGTAGGTATTTTGCGAGTATGGTGAATGTATTTACCACTACATCACGGAGAAGTAGTTTAACTAAACGGGACAAACATCAAGTCATGTTTAATAAAAACTTAAATGAGTGATTAAGTTGCAGAGTCATTTTTAAATTTCAGATCCGATTTCTATTTGTAACCTAAAGAGTCGCCTCCCTGTTGGTCATTAGAAAGAATGCAGTTTTAAGGCACTTTGACACTGGATTCACCTTTTAAGGGGAAATTATGGTACAGCAGTGGCTGTGTGCTGGCAGCTAAATACTGCCCATCTACCTGCAGACAGCATCTTGTCAGATGGGGGCACACCCATGTGCGCTACTCTTGTGCTGTTGCTGGTCCATTAGCCAGCAGTGCAGAGGAGTCAAACTGAGTGTTAAAAACTATGGAAAGCCAATTCTTGTGCACTTTCCTGGTGCATGCAGCGTTTTGATTAATGCATTTAATGAAAATCCCACAGTCCAAAGACATACCATGGGGTTTTGGTTAATTGGTGACTCTAAACTGCCCTTAGGTGTGAATGCAAGTGTGAATGGTTGTCTGTCTCTCTACGTTAGCCCTGCATCAGGCTCATGACCTGTCCAGGGTATACCCAGCTTCTTGCCCTATGGTAGATGGGATAGGCCCCCCCCTGAAAAGGATAAGCGAAGAGAATGGATGGATGGGATGGCATTTAAGAAGAGTATTTCTGTAACAGAAACACTCTTCAGGTTACTGAGAGACAATCTTTTGTTTCTCAGTAATCTGAAGAACACACTGAAGAGTTTTTATTGGAACTGCTTCCTGGCAAAGAAACAGTCCCTGTTCTAGCTTGACAGCAGGATGTTTCGAAAATACACAAAAAGACTGGCGGTGTTTCAGGGAAGAGAATACTTTTTATAAGGTTTGTTAAAAAGAAACTTCACTGACATTAACTGAACTGGAGTGGTAACAGAAATGAAAGAGACAGAAGCAAAAACTCCCTTTTTTCCCTTCAAGGCTGCAACTCTAGGACTGATTCCCAGTTTGGAAGTGTCACTGAAAATTCCGCCAACAGTCCAACTTCCTTTTTTTATTCCAAAAAGATTGAAAACAAAACGGAGCAAATGCAACAGTTTGATTTGAGCCCCAGGCACGCATAAGATCGGAGCTGGTATGTGCTCACTGGACTAATTCATATGGCCGCATCAATCCAAATTCTAGGAATACCGCATGATGATTGCTCCCAGAGATGGGCTCGGTTTCACATTGCATCTCTGCAGGCCAGAGGGGCTTAAGGAGAGCAGCTCTGGTCATTACAGCGCCACAGGGGAGCTTGTCTGATCACAGCTCATCACCCCACACACTGTTTACATTCTGATCAGCAACACCAAGCCCCGTCATCCCCATACATATGAATGTTTATTTAGACAGCGGACCCGAACAGGATTTCATTGTGATCTCTGTAGAGGGTGACAGTGAAAACATCACTCTAGGGTTTCAGCCAGCGGGGAAACTCCTTTTCAGCAGTGTAAATACAGAAATTGCATCCTGTAAGCACAGTGGAGATGAAATCAGTATGTAGATAGTTTCTGGTTTCTTTCAGTGCAAATATTTAGTGTGCAAAGGTCTAAGCTCAAGATTATTGACTTACACAGAGATCCTAACACAGACTAGGGTTTTCTAAATAGATATCAGTTAGGTACAACAGATGGGCTTAACCGCCTCAGAATAATTTGGATTATCAATAACTCGATAATTCAGCAGAATAATGTAATTTCCCCCCCTAAAAACAAAACAAAAACAACAGGCCTTCCCTCTAAAACACAATAAACACAATTAGTAAACAGTTTATCCTGGTCTCCTCACTGATTTTGGTTAAATTATACATAAGATAGCTCCCAAATTAAAATGTATGTTTTTCAGGTCAGCTCAGGTTCTATCTGGTGTGTGTGGTCTTTGTGGTGTGGAGGGTCAACACAGCAGGGATGGAGTTCAGCTGAGGTTGCACACTGAGTTGCATGCTCGGGACAGAAAACAAAACCCTACCTACGATCCAATGAATACAAACGTCAGGTTTCTGGGTGGGAAGAGTTCTCATTCCCGTCGCTCAACTAAGGACTCCTACTGGTAAGTCATGGTTCCTGCACAGTGAGGCAGCTATCCCCTGCAGGTAATAACTGTTGTTACTGGCAGAGATTCTGCACAACTACAAACTTCAACATAGTCCCTGCCTTACCAACTTTAAAATAATACTGGCTGTTTACTGACTTACTGAGTCAAAAGAGGATCAAAGGGTGCATGTTTCAGAATGAGATTTCTGTGCGAGGGTTCTGTGTCTAAGAGCTTCACAGTCTATCCACTCCATGTCTGGTTACAAAACACAAAGATGGCGACAGTGATGACACTCAGCTTGATGCGTCATGATGGTACTTAATTGACTAATGAGTGTTGCCATCTTTTATATACAGTCACACTATTGCCGATTTCAAAAATGTAGGCTTTTAGACAACCCAACAGGTTGTGCTGAAGTACAGCAGTAGACTTTTAAGGCTATAACAATAGTTCAAAGTTATGGACGCCCCAAAACTTATTTTTTAATGTTTTGTAATTATAAAAACTCTTTAATTTAACATTACGACCCACAAGTGGACAAACTCTGTTCTAGAATCAAGTATAAGGCTACATAATAGCATCAAATCACTAAGCCCTAAGCGAGGGAGGATCATTAGGGACTTGCCTTGGCGTTTTGCAAAGCGGTCTGGTAGCTGGACGGCTTGTAGTACAACCTCTGCGATGGTTCAGTGTGTATGTCTCCTAGAAACAGCTCCTCCACCAGGTGATCCAGGTTGTGGTGCAGGTACTGCTTCTCCACTCTCAGCAGCTGCAGCTCATGCATGGCAAAGTTAAGCTCTCTGGTGCAGTCGTAGTCGCCCTCCTCGCTCACCAGCTCGTACATCGTGTTGGGTTCCCAGGCGCCCTTCACTGCCCCTCGGCAGCTGCGGTTGAGCCTCTGGCTGAGCTCTTTGTCCACGGTGGCTGTGTGATACACCATCTGGACACGATGGAGCTGGTACTCCGCCTCTGTGCCACCGCGGATGATCCAGGAGGCCTGGCGTAAGCGCAGTCGACCCCGAATCACCAGCGTGTAGATGGGTTTGGTGCAGTGGTTGTCCTCATAATAAAACTGGTGAGCCTGGAAGGTGTTGTTGGGGTAAAACCTGTAGGAGCGTGTCAGGAACTCTGGGCCTGGTCTGACCTCACAGCTGAAAGAGAGGACAGATGGCTGTTAAAAAGAAACAAAAAAAAAACCCCTTAAAAACATTTATGTTTGTGTGAAGAGCTGAGTGGTATTCATGTTCCTTGCCTTGAGTTTCACAAACAGCATGTTTGAAGTATAACCCAATTAATCTGCACAGAAGATTGACTAGCTTCAGCCTTTTTTATTGGTTGTACGTCTTTGGTTTATTCTTTTGTGAAGAGTGTCACGAGATCAGCGTAAGTTTCTGTCTGGTGGTGCATTCAGAGAAGCTCAGACATGTCAGACCTGACAGGAGGAGGCTGAAACTAATCTGTATCTATATATCTATATATAAAGAGCAAAAGCCCCACCCACTTGCTGTTGTTCTTTTTTAACATCATAACCAATGAGTTTGTCTATTACTATTTGTGTTCCTGTTTCCCCATTGTTGAGTTGCAACCATTAGTTTAAAGGAAGCCTCCAAACCACTCCCATGTGCCTGTGAACCACATCAGTGGGCGTAAAAATAAAGAAATGTGGTGAACACACATCGACTCACAGTGAAAGTAATGTAAGCTTTAATTAAACAAAAAAATAAAAAAATCACCTCCTGCTAAGAGTTTCTTACTATAATGAAGTGAAAGTAGTAGCTTGCTAGAGAGTAATGCAAACTCTTAAAGATTTTGGTTAGGGGGAAGATACAGAGAAAAGACGCCAACCTGGTGGACACCCAGTGGCCCTCCACGCTGGGAGGCATCTGCACAGTGATCCGGGCGCCATTGTGAAGGTGCTTTAGCATGTGCTGGCACTGGGAGTCTTTGATGGATCGGCCAAAGGTTTTCTCTGGATAGAGGCGACTTGAGCGGCTTTCCGAGTAGTGAAGAGAGGAACCTTCAACCCAAACTGTGGGAACAAGACGATGAGAAAACAAAGATGATGATGACGAGCCTTTACGTACAATAACAAATGTAAAACAATCAAACAGAAAATTATATTGTAAACAGCTGTTGAATTACCATTGAGCAGCGTTTGAACATCAAATGTTGGGGTCACCGAGTTTGAAAGGCTGGATAAACCACAGAGGAATCTGTTTATTCTGGCATATCTTTACCTTCTAAAAAATTACCGCTTTTAGGACAACTGGGAACGCCAATTACGCTGAGATCAAACGGAACAGCAGTCTCCCTCATGCTTTCAATCTGCCAGGCCTCTTTGAAGTGTTTAGAGGGTTTAATTTTGTCATTTTAACTCTTGTCATCGCCAGAGATTACATGGCTGCTCCAACAACCTGTAACACCTGGTATGAATGAAAATGAGCAGATCATGAGACAGGTTGAGGGCCAATTAGTGAATTTCGGCTTCCACTCACTTTTAACAACAACATTCAAACGAACCAAGACAAATGACGAAGATTGCGCCGATTTGTATGCTCAGTTCCCACACCGCCCGCGTGCCCTTGACGCACCACATGGAAAAACAATACCTTCAGCGATGGACTGAGCTTAAAGGGATAAAATGTCGGAAATGAAAGTACTTAAAAAGCCTACAGCCAGAGAAAAGCCCCGAAGCTCACATTCCCTCAAGGATTTATGCCATGTAATACTCCGATATCATCAAAATCTACCTTGAAATATGAAGACTTTGCCATGAATTCTTTCTATCAGACCAGACTTGCCTGGCAATATCATTTTAATGCCCAGGAATGCCACTGCGGTCGCCTCTGAGCTTTTAATTTGAGACTAATAACACTGAAGGAGGGAGAAAAACATCTGATTAAAAGAAGCCAAAAGCTCCATGAAGAACAAAGCTCCATCCAGCTGTTTTACACCCAGTCGGGCAGCTCCTATGAGAGCTAGCCCAGGCTTGTGTGCAAATCACCACATCACAGCACTGCTGAATGGAAACACTGGACAGTGGGAGAGACTTGATCCCCCGACTCAGCTGGTGGCATTAGTAACGCTGCTGTTTGCTGTAGCTGATCTTAAAAATCAAAGGAGACACTTCACAGTTTGCTGCATGTTATGCACGTATGTATATAAATGTTTTTTTAACACCTGCACTCGGCTTGGACCACAGCAACGATCTGAGCGGCTGCCAACAGCTTGTTTTCACTATGATGAGAGCAAAAACTAACAGTGTGCGCTTGAGAGTGTTAAAAAAGGAAACCTGGTGAGATGTATAATCTAAAACACACTTAACACTTTTATGCAACCCCTCGGGTTTAATAGCAGGTGAATTTAAGGGTTGAGCACATCCAAAAGAAAACTAACAGAAATCTAGCTGCGAAACTGTTACCCGGTTATAAATTAGGTGAATAGAACATAAAGTGGTACACCGTGCCATTATGTATTTAACAGAAGAATTTTTTAAGAGAAAATGCAAAAGCAGTTCGGGGGTGCGCTGGTGTGGAGCATTCAAGCAGGAAAGAAGTCAGAGATGATCTCAGAGAAGCTTTTGTTGCTGCCCATTAATCTGGGAAGGGCCATTTCCAAACAGTTTGAAGTCTGTCATTATGCAGCAGAAAGATTATTCACAAGTGCAAATCATTCAAGACTGTAACCAATCTTCTAAGGAGTGGACGTCCCAGCAAATTCACCCCAAGGTCACAACGTGCAAAGCTGAGATAAATTGCAAACCCCCCCCCAAACCCAAGCGCTACATCTCAGACCGCACAGGCCTTAATTAGCATGTTAAATGCTAAAAGTTCAGGACAGCACAATCAGAAAAAGAATGAACAAGTATGGCTTGTTTGGAAGGTATGCCAGCCTCTTGGCTCTAGAAAGAACAGGAAAACCACAGGACCTCTTGGGCAGTGTCCTTCAAACAGATCAGACCAAAGTGGAGATGTTTGGCAACAACACGCAGCAGCACTTTTAGCAAAAAAAAGCAAAGGCAATATAATAGAAAAAACAGCTTATATCAGTGTTGATTGAAGCTTGTTTTGCAGCTAGGACCTGGGCACCTTACAGTCATTGAGTTGACCGTGAACTCCTCTACTCTACAGTCAAATGATCCCCATGGCTGAATAGCTGAAAAAGAAAAGAATCGAGATGTTGCAACGGCCCAGTCAAAGTCCAGACCTCAACCTGATTGAAATGTTGTGGTGGAACCTTAAGAGAGTTGTGCCTAGATGAGTTCATGGAAACCTCAATGAACTGAACGAAACTGTAAAGACGAGTTGGCCAGAATTCGTCAGCAATCAAACGAGAGCCCGATCCAGTCGCACAGAGAACGATTACTTCAAGTTAAAAAATGTTAAAGATGATTCTACAAGCTAAAACCTCAGAGGGTGTACTTAGTTTGTCACACGCTTCTGCATTTTGGCTTCGTTTTTGTTAAACAATGACAGTGTAATATGTCATGTTGTGGTTCATCTGAGATTTTATTTGCTGATTTTTTTTTTTTAAATTATATCCTATATGTAAAACTAATTTTATCCATCAGTCTGCTAACATATTGTTTTCTGAAGTTTGTGCTCAGTGGAGACCCGGGGATTGTCTGGAAAACTGTGGAATAACACTATCGGATCATTTTTTCTGAGAAAAATGAAGATTGGAACGGGAATTTCAATTAGATATACTAGTTGATATTGACAGTGCTTATTTTTTTTT